TCCAGGTCGGGGGGAGGACGAGAAAAGGGAGCTGGCAGGCAGTCGGCGAGACCCAGCCAAATTTTGACCTCAGGCACCCAGTTCTAATGCCCAAACTGAGAACAAGTCTAGCCACTCTTCCCGTGCCAGAGAAGAAGAAGGGAGAGAGCTGAAATTAAAAATAAGAAAGACTGGACCCAGGTGTTTGAAATATCCAGCTCCAGTAAGTGGAACCAAGGTGGAAGTCTACCATCTTAGAGACCAAACAAGACTGGACATCCTACACCAGTTCTCGATCTGGAGCACCTCCTCAGGCTCCGCGTTTCCTGGTGAAATGGCCGTTTGTGTTGTGGTTGTCTGGAGCGCACAGTTTAAGGGCTAGGACAGAAACAATCACCTTCCAGTTGGAACTGCGTGCTGATGATTAGGCACTGCTCAACCATCAGGGCGTGCTTGGGTGTGGAATTGCTGCTGTGGTTGGTTGGACATGGTTGGACTTACTCTCCATTTGATGATCTTGATGATCAGCTGTAGGGTCTTAAGTGCAAGTGGAGGATCTGGCAGGTTTCACATAGACAGCTTTTACTTTGTCATGGTCTTTCGAAGTCTTCAGCAAAGGTCATAGTTAAGGGATGACGTTGCTCTATTAGGACTTTATTTTGCTGAGTGGGATACAGACTTCCTTTCAAGTGAACAGCACTTACACTCTCCTACGTGGTGTTGAATTATCGGAAGTACATGGTGATTTGAATAGTATCATTGACCTTTTCCCCACCATTTTGCGATATCTGTCATATTACTTTGCAATTTTAAGGATATTGCATGTCAACTCTATTGCCGTTGTGACTCTGGCGTAGCCAGTGGGAGTTCTGTGAAGAACAACTTTGACCCGAAAAAGTTAGTGATACAATTTTGTATTAGTAATTCCTGGGATGCCTAGAGGATCTTTGCCTGGTCTTGTCTAAGTTTTCTTTAGATGCTTGCATTAGTTCTAGAAAGAAATAAAACTAGTACTTCTTAGGCTAGTGGTAGCCATACTGGTTTAGCTCCTACTCATTAAAAAATTCTGCTTTTTTGTGATCTTTGTGTTACTATAAGACGACGACGTTTGGCCGTTGGATGTGGGCTGTGCATTGAGTACTACTGCATGGCATATGAGTGATGTTGCTCAAGCGGTAACCTGGCATGGAGGTGTTCTGTGAGAGAGCAGTCAATTTTAGGCCTAGTCACTTTGCAGGCATTTACATGGATGAATGTGAATTGTTAGCACTGTGGTTCAAAGCCTCTGAATCACTTCCTTTCTTTGTTACTCCATTTGAACTACTTTTGCTTATCATTGTACAATATGGAAGAATTGTATCCACCAGAACAGGTAAGTGGAAGTATGGCTATTCATTTCTTGTTGTGTGAGAGGTTTGGAATATGACCTTCTCAGCTGGTCATGGTGTAAAATCTTCATCTATGTGTCAGACATGTCGGAAAAAGTATGTGTAGCGCTTAGATTATCAATCCATCTACATTTTGCATCTCCACTGTGAAGTTCTCCATGATGGAGGTCAGAAGAAATGTGTAGAAAGCTGAAGAGTTTGTATGTCTAATAGGTAGCAAGTAGATGGTGGTATCTTCATTTAAAACACAACTCAGCTTTGCCTCCCTGCTCCTTCCTATCCCAGAAAACCAACGGCATGGAAGGGACTCATCAGAACGAAGCTCTTAGAGCTGTGATGTCCCACACCAGTTAGCACATGAGATGAAGTGCTTCGTGCCTTCAGAGCTGACACCTCCCTTCTTGCTTGGACACATCATTCTTTTCTGTCCTCCTGAACAAGTAAAACATAATGTGGATAGCAGGATGATCATTAAACAGTTTCAGGATTTTAGCTTGAAATACGTTGGGGCTATTGGTGTAAATAAATAATTTGGGACTTACGGTGACGTTCCGAAGGTACACTACACTCCTGATTCCTCTTTGACTCCATTCGTAGTATCTGAGTCCTTCAAGGGTTCTTACTGAACTTCAGCAAATAAGACAATAATTACCTCTGCAATTTGGAGTATTTAATACTGGCTGCAAAATTATTTTTGTTAAAGCCAATCATGATCTAGGAGCCATGATAAAGCACTTTAAAAAGTACAGCGTGTATTACCTATACTAACTTCTCATATTTTGGTGGCACTCAAGAAACTTAAGTATAAAATTTTAGGTTTTGGAAATAGATGAGCATATTTACCCTGTCAGTTCATTAATTTTCTACCGTCATGTTATTTTAAAAGGCTTTTCAACCTTTTAAACTTAAATTCAATTAATATCTTTACATTGAAGCAAAAGAAGATCACAGACAAAATAATCTCAGTGTTTGGTTAACTAGGTGCCTTTTTCTAGTTAGAAATGGCTTCTAATCGCCTGAAATACCTCCTATTATATTTCTTTTAGGACTGTGAAACAGGTACCAATTTATTCTGGAAGCGAAAGAACACTCATTAAAGAACTATGGTGCATATTCCTCAGAAATAACAAACTGAAAATAAAGGACTCACAAAGGGGTGTTCACAGTGGCCTTCAGTAAGGCAGCCTTATCTTGCTTTACAAGTCAAATACACTGTTGGATGTGTTGATAGGAAATCCTCGTTGATTTTGGTAACAAATAGAAAGGGTAATGTATTTACTCTTAAATACCAAGTTTGTTAATTCACGTTAAAGTTGTTGTCACTAATTTGAAGTAATGTTTTTTATTTTCCATGTACAATTTAGTTCTCGCATTATCTGAACCCAAATAGTTCTCTCACAAAGGCTCTTGTATTAGAAATACATGATGAGATGGCTTTAGAGGGGAAAAAAATAAAATACGAACAGTGCACCTAACTTTATTTTTCCTAGCACAGAGCATCCTGTTTACTGCAATAAAATTCTACTTTATTGATGAATATATGAATCAGTTATCAGTATCATAGAGATGCTCATGAAGCTGACTGATGCTTTTCTTTTTTTTATTTAATATTTTGGGGGTTTATATACCATAACACAATTAGACATTCAGGGATGATGATGTTGAAATCTAAAGTCTTATTTTAACATTGTGTCAGATGATATTACAACACCTTAGGTAAGTGATCTAAAGATTATAGCTAAATCTCTGAAGGGGACTGTCACATGCATATATTTCTGGATCACAATAGTGAAATCAGTCCCTAAAACGCAGCAGTTTTTGCATTAAAGTGTTGCTCTGTGTGGAAAAGTGAGGTTTTAAAAAATGGCATCTCCTCACTGAAATGATACAACGCCCATGGATAGGAGGCTTGTCCACCATAGTGACAGGTTTCAATTAAATCTTAGACTGTTTATGCAGCTGTGTAAGAATGAGCTGCAGTTTATTTTAGCTCACGTGATCCACCAGAAAGATAATGTATTTCCGGATGAGTTACAACATCTCCCATTTATACCTGCACTCAGGTACCAGCAAAGTCAAAACTTGAAGGTAATAGTGGCACAGTTCGGCCTGCTGAATCCTTATTACATGTGGAGACATACAAATGGGAGAGAACGCGCCTGAACTTTTGGATGCTAGGTTTGGTTTGCTGATGCAGAGTTCAGAAAATGGTCTTTGGGTCTTTGTTTTACAAAGTGAGGAAATGCAAGTTTTTGAGCATTGTGGCTTTCCATCTTGCATCTCTTTCAATGGAATCACTTTTTAGGAGGGACACGTACTTAAACCTGCTTATTGAACTGGAAAGCAGAAATGTATTTTTAAAGTATTTCACGCATATATCTTCTAAGACAGAGGTGACTTGCAAGAAGATGGTATATTTAAGTAAACATTATTTCTCAACTTAAATCAACCTCTTTATTGATACAACAGTTCCATGTTGAAGGAACAAGACTGATTTCACAAGCAGAAAAGAGTGACTTGAAGTAGAATCTGGGGAATATAGAACAGACTTAAGCACCTACTCCTTCTGTAGAATGGCAAACTATGGGTGCAATGCTGACTTCAGTAATACTGGGCTTGTTCCCACCAGCTAAGCATCTGGTCATCTGTAAGTAACACCTCTTTTTTTTTTTTTTTTAGTGGAAAAGCTTTACTAACAACTATTTTGAATAATCAGCTATTTCTTTATACATTGTCATCAATCTGTTATCAAAATCAGTTTTTAGAAGACAACTGTCCTCAAAATAAAGTAACCTGTGAGCAATATTACCCTCAGTCAGTAGAAATCTAGAAATCTTGCTGCCTGATGAAAGTCTTCAGGACTGTCTTCCAAATTAGGTGTGATTTGCAGTGCAAACAGTATTCTTCAATCCTAAACTGGGCAACCATCTGGACCATAGATTAAACTGAGGTATAAAGCCAATAACAAAGAGTTAACCTGAGGTCCCTTCTGCCCGGGTCTTGTAGTACTCTAAATTAAAGATACTGAGCAAGTTTCAAAAGCGTAACTGGATAACTCTGGCAATATTCATTATCTTACTAAGAAATTCCAGTGTCGAGCCGCGTATGGAACATTACAATGCACATAATGACTGTCTTGTTTACCTACAACGTCACTCTATTACCACGATTCCAACTTCCTCATTACATTGTAAACTGCTTGGCATATTTTGGGATACTGAAAACCAGTTGATTTCTTATGCATGTTACAGTTTTGTTACAATTTTGATGAAGTGTTTTATCTGAATCAAGTGTAGTTTATCTCAAGATGTATGTCATAAGCATACTCCTGCTTGTAAGGGCTACTGAAAATACACTCTCTCTCTCTCTCAAGCCTAAACACACGCAGTGACAATTTTCCCACCACCAAAGACACTAAACTGAACATGCTTCCCTTCATTGTGCAGGTTCAGTGTTCATACCTATCTGAAGGTTAAAATGACATAAAGTTTTGTAACACTTACTGAACGTTTTACTTTGGGTTGGTCTTTGATTCAAAATTAAAATCCAGCAATAAACTCATTGTTTAGTAATTGTTTCTGAAAGTTAAAATATTTAGAGAGAGACAGTTCAAATAATGGCAAAATTTAAATGTGGTCTAATATTGAACAAAATTGGCTAATTATTTTTTTTTAAATCAATGGAGTAATTGTGATGGCCAGCTATGCTGTAAATAGCATTTCTTTGTCCATTCATTTGACTTTTAGCAGTATTACAGTTTCTTGGCTCTGTACATTTTCATCAGTGCAATCCCTTTTTGTTGTTCCTCCTTACCCATATATTTTTCAGTCAATTTCTGCAGCACGTTTTATGACACTGGCATCCTGACACTGGCAAAAAAGATTAATTCAATAGTTAACTGTTCCTTGTGTTTAAATTATTAGAACAATATAATATATCAAACATTTTAAAGTGAAAAAATATTGGCAATGTAGGGCAACTAGTAGTGGGGTATGTGAATGCTGGCTTGCTTTACATTTACGCAAATAACAATATTCTGGTTTTGACAAAAGGAAAATTATCCTTTTGGCCTGTTGAACAACAATGTCACACTTTGTTTATTATCAAAATTTTAGACTGGTAATATTGCAAAGCTGAAGGGAAATACACATCAATCTGTTTTCTTCTATTACACAGACAAAATGTAGATTCCAATACTATTTCAATACTATCTCATTATGAGTCATAATATAAAATATTGTTGCAAATCTATTAGGTCTCTAAAAACTTTCACAATAAGTTGATATGATTGACCTGTGTAGGAAAAAATGATTCTTCTTGTGGCTTACCAAAGAAGGGGAAATAGGTTGACTCTTGCAAAATTGTAAACGGTAGCAGCATGATCAGTAGACTACAACAAAACACTAAAACAAGAACAGCATTGAAAACAACTGTCAGAAAGACACTTTTCTTTGAAAATAGCAGTTGCCCCGCTTGGGCTTTGCTAGATTTCTCACAGACCACCCACAAAACTCGCAGCCCATTCCTTTAGAGGGGCAAAACAGGAACAATGAGGATATTTTCTTCCATAAGGCACTTCACTGCGTTTATTTAGATTTTGTGGGGTTTATTTGAAATCATCTTATAATAATGTAATCACTTACATGTGCTCAGCACCCAATGGATTAAGAAGGGATACAAGGGACTACACACTGCTAAGTCTGAGCTCCATTGCACGCAAATTAGTAGCACATATAAAAAGAAATAGAATTGGCAGATATATGTGAACATGTCTTGGTTTGGAGAAGAGTTAATATGAATTTTTAGAGGAAAGGCACATCTCACAGAACTCTTAGTCAATGTCCGGATAAGAATGTCTCTGGCTGGTGTAAATGGATTTTCAAAAAACCTTCTTGTAAGAACCCACAGGAGCAGCTGCTAATGAAACAAAGCTGTGGTCCAGAAGGATTGGTCATCTGGTGGATTACCTGGTTCATGGAGAGAAAGCAATGAAGGGTGGCTATGATAGAGTTTCCAAACATTCTGTGTTGTACAACAGAATCATCAATTACTTGAAAATTGTATTTACTGCTGATAACTTATAGATTATTATTAGCATTGTCAAGAGAAAGGTTGGCAGTGAAGAGCTGGATGACAGCAGGTGAAATTCAGTGTTTATAAGTGCAAGCTAATGATCAAAAGAAAAATAATCCTGACTATACATGCATAACAATGGGCCCTGAAGAAGCCGTTACTATTCAGGAGAGATCTTGGAATCATTGTGGAAAGTTTTTGGGTGTGTCCACATTAGTATTTTAATTTGGATCAGGTGCGTGCTTTTGAAGTGGATCTCCCTGGGATCCCCATTTACCACATCTCCGTTTGCATCAGAGAACTGTCCTGGAGAGCAGCGACCGCACTCCCTTCAGATGAAACTAAACCAGAAAATGTGTTCCAGCTCCTAATGGATGTCCAGTCCATGGGACCAGACTACTGCTTATCAGAGGTAAACCTCAGGCAAACAGAATTGTGCGTGTTATTAAAAAAGCAATTGAGAATGAAACAGAAGATGATGATCATCATGTCACTGGGGAATACTGTTGTGCTTCCACATCTGCAGTACTGCACCCACTTCAAGAAGAACACAGAACTAGAAGTAATGCAGAGAAGGGCCAACAGGGTGTTGCACGGTATGGAATGGCTGTCAGTGAGAAGACACCTTATGACAATTTTCTGGCTCGCAGAAGTGATTGAGAAAGATATGAATGGTGTGGAAAAGACAAATGGGGGATGATTAGTTAATTCAGTGGTGAATGCTATTTCTCATTGCACAAGAAAAGGCATGCAGCAAATGAAATGATTAGGCAAATGACGGAGACAAAGGAAGTACTTCTTCACAGTATTTAAATCTTGGAACTCATTGCCATGGGATGTTGTGAAAGTCAGAACTGTAAATGGTTTCAAAGAATGGTGAATCAGCTTCTTGGAGGATAGATGCCATTATACCTTTCAGCACAAAAAAAATTTTTAAACTGCTAGTCACCAGAAGCTAGGAGGGTAGAGCAAGGGCAGCACTTACTCTACAGATGCTGTTTCCTAAGCATCCGGTACTGATTTCTATTAGAATGTACAATGTTGAGCTAAATGGACCCTTAGTCTGACCTGGTACGGTAGTTCTTAGTTTTGTACTTACTACAGTCATTCAACAAACATAGGTATTGACTAAGATGTTGAAACGGTCTGCAGAGATCACAAACATACTTGCCTTACAAGCTGTATTCTGGTATTCTAATTGCTAATCACTGTCAGTTAGTATCCTGGCAAAGTAAAGGACAAATCAGAACAGTGGGTTCAGTTTCCAACACAGAAAAAGTCAGTTTCTGTTTTAGAGACCTCACAGTCTAGACTTCCAACAAGATGCAACAGGTGGTAGAAGCAAACAAAAGAGCAGAAGAAGGGAGGAGGTGATGAAGTAACATTGAATCAAATATGCATAATAAAAATGAAGTTTTGGCTCATTGCCATAGCTCTGGCTAGTAACTGGGGTAAAAGGGATAAAGATGAACTAGTAAACATTTGAGTAAATGGCATGGAATGAGGCAAATGATCGAGTCAATATTATTAGAAAGTCATTAATGTAACAAAATGTTTCTAATGAACAAAAACAGCTTTCTCCTACTTCTATGAGAAAAGCATTTCAGCATCTAAAAGGGTTTATCCACAACTTTTCTGTATTTACATTTTTGGATGGTCTTGGTAGGCTTCCTTCATGCGGTACGGGGTTGTTAAGACACATTTATCAATCTTCAAAGGCCTTACCTGAATATACATTAAAAAGCCACTAACTTTTAACAAACCCATCAAGTCGCTATTGTGTTGGGTTTTTTCCCAGAAATGGTGATTACTAATATATTGAAACATAAATGGTCTAATTTCTAACTGACCAGCTCAACTTGTCAAATTCTTTCACAGATACAAAATTAACAACTTTTGACATTACTTTGCAGTCACTGCCATGAGCAGTGGTATTGTAAACTGTTCTCAGATGTCAGGCTAACTACGAAGGAGAGCGCTTTGCTTATGTATCTTACTAGTCTTAGTAATAAGAGAGAGATTACAAAATAAAGTGTGACATTACATAGTTTTTTAAAAGACTACTTTGTAAAATTTCTTTTACTATGCTAATGGACTTTCCTTTAAATGTCATGCAGTTGAAATTTGCTCTAATGATATTTTTGAAACCATTAAATCATTTCCTTTTTTGGAGAAGGGACTGTTTTGCAAAATACAAAATCACATTATCACATTAATACGCCTGATGAATTTGTCTTTTAGAAATGTTTTTGCGATAGGTTTCAGGTGTTTTATCACAGGAAATCTGACAGGAAAGGTGCTGGGGAATTCCTGCTAAATACGGTTCACGTGGAAGGAAAATGCACCGTAATGCTTACTGGGCTCATAAATGGATTCTGATACTCTTAGACTGCAAAGATGTTGATCAATGTTTTTGGGGGATTAATGTAAGGAAGGAATAGTGGACTCCAGTGCAAATGTGAATGCATGAATTTAGGATGCCACAGCGTGAGAAGACCTTTGATGAGAAGTGATTGAACTTATCTCTACCTAAGCAGAGGAAGTAGAAACCTTTTAGGTTCAGCAATGGTATGACATAACAGTAGAGCTTCAAATTAAATAGGAATATGACTCAAGTATTAAAATCCATACAGGGAGGAGGATGGAGACTTTCTGGATCCCAAATTAAGTACTAGGAATTATAGGGAAAACTATGTACATTTAGTACATTTATGTACTAAAATGTCTGCACATGACTCCAGGGGAGATAACCTGGAAGTTCTTGAAGGAATAAATACTGGCTGATGAGGGACAATTAAAACTTCGCAGTTTGACTGCAGTAACTGGAAGCGAGACTGTAATAAGAGTCTGGATGCACCAACTCAAGCTTTTCACAATCCAAAAATGTGAAAAGTTGAAAAGCAGTTTCCACTTTTGTGTAATTAAACATTACCAGTCGTTCATAATTTTCCACTGTGCTGAAATGTCAGAACTGATGTACTCTAACAGTTAGAAAAGGAGATGGTGGAGATGATGAGAAACTTGACAATGTTTTATCCAAGTAGTCACTATTATATACCTAATATACAGATTAATACAAAATAGTATACAGTATTTGTATAGTCAGCAAAATACACCATAGTATGGAAACAGTGATAAAAGTAAAGGAAACTGAAAGAAGCGACAGGTATCAGCTTCAGCTCTTTGGCAGCAGAAGAGGTGAATTTTTTTTTTTTTAGGGTTGTTTTGGGGTTTTTTTTTAGGTTTTACAGTAGAAATGCAAAATGACTGCTTTTCTGGACATATTATAAAAACAAAGTATGAGACAGGCAATTAAATAAAAAACAGACAGTTCAGGCTGCAAAACTTAGTAACACTGAATGTTCCTGCTACTTACCCTTATGGCCTGATAATGTCTTATGTGCAATAGAAGCCCTAATCATCTGTGCATTGATGATACACAAAAGATGCAACAGAAACCCCGGAGAAAGCTGCATTTGATAATGTATTTTTACATATGCCAGGGAAATAGCATCTTTTTTACTTTACACCCACAGAAACACTCATGTTTCTTAATAAAATAAAAAGGGTGAGGCCGTTGGCCAGCTTTTATGGCCTTCTACTGCCACATTTTATTTGCCTCTTAGTGTCAAGAATGGCAGTCGTCAATTAACTGTGGGAATTGTGCGTCTCTCCAAGCAAAACTGTTCGACACCACAGAGCTGAGCAGTGCCTTCAGAGCCCAGGTGATTTGGATCAGCTCCTTCCTCTGAGTTTCCTTTGGTTTAGAACCTGCTGTTTTGTACAAAAAATACTGATGCGTTAATACTTCTAGGGAAGCTGAAGTATAAATACACCATCAGACTACCTGGCGGGCAGGCTGCCTGTGTGACCTGACGGCAGCTAAGGAGTATCAGAGTGCTCTGTCCCTCCTATGTCCTCAGTCAGCAAAGACTGTTCGGGGGCCTTTGGAAGGAGACTCATCCACTGCTCTCCTGCCGTCTTCCCCACTGCCTTCTCACCAGCAGCAAATGACCTCCATTGCCTTTCCCATGCACTGGCATGCACTTACATCAGATGACAGATTAAAGCAGGAGTGCCCAGGTGGCTTTGTCATCTCTCCCTGCTGACTAAGGCCTATGCAAACAGTATGTTGTATGGCATTTATCAAGTGGATCAAGATAACAAAGATTCCAAGCTCCAAGGAAGACACCCTTTTTTTTTGTTGTTGTACACATCACTAGCTTTGGATTATTATTCTCATCAGTCTTTTGTTACACTGATAGAATGCACTTTCATCAAAGAACATCATGGCTCAACACGTGGACTGCCTGTTGTACTTCTTAATCTTGTATGAACTGTTGTTCTTGCTGCCTCAGAAAGCTTCAAGGAATTGCTAGAAGAATTGATGGAAGACTGCTGCTTCTCCCAATTGAATAACATGTCCCCTAGCTGTGTCATGAGCACTACAAAGGATGCCGGATCTTTTTCCGGCATTGCTTGACCATCCTACGCTTTGGCTTTCTGACATGACATTGCTTAAAGTATTTCTAGTGAGTGCCAGTAATACCACATTTCTCACTCTTAGAAGTGGTATCAAGTATTGCAGTGTGTGCGTGGTTACCTCTTATTGACAAGCTACTGTGGGCTGTGATTTGAATTGTTCTGCAACTGTGCTGCTCTTATTTTTTGTGCTTCATCCACTCATATCATATATCACTGACAACCTGCTGTGTTTAGAAGACAAAAGCAGGTTTCTTTTTAACATGAACTGGACCTTCTATTTGTACCATGAATGATGCAGTTTTCCTCCCCTGCTATTAACTGCTGCTCTTGTAGCCTATTTAGTATACAGGGAAAAAAGTCTTGCTTACTGATCAATTAAGATGTGTAAACTACTCTCTTATTTTGGATTTGCATTGCTGTTATATCTTAGAGTATACACCCCTTGATTTTCCACAGTCCGTTTCAAGATATATGTCCAAAGTACAGCTCAGAAACCAAGGACAACATTCTTTAATGCTGTTTTATTCCCAAGCTACAAGGCAGAATTCCTTAGGTGACTGAAATAATTTCTGCCTTAACATAATGTTAAATTTCTAGATTCCCTTATTAATTCTAGTTTTTTGTGTAGCTCAGAACAGCTCTAACAGAACTTTCATGCCCAGCTGCTATTGCTCCTATTACCACCAAAAGGCAGCCATTCACAAGCATCTCTGGTAATCAAAAGTTGCAGTCTAATGGCAGTTGATCTCTCAAAGTGCAGGGTTACGCACCGAGGATGTTGTTTAGCACTGAGAATCACAAAGGTATGTTTTGAATGTCTATTTAAATGCATACACTTTTACAGGCATAGAGGGGATATCTGGGGATTGCCTACAGATATTTAGTATTTGATATATCACTTATTCAAAATTTGGAAAGTACTTGAGT